ACCGTCCTCAAGATAATGGCTCTGAACTCTACCTCTGATAATTTACTTAACTGCATTTCATTGATCTCATCATTGATAGAATTCTCTTGTTCTTTCATTTGGGATTTGTTTCTTAGTTTCACCATTTTGGCTATCTCAATGTGTTTTGGAGCTTGCCAAATTTTCCCTGTGAGTGTTGGTGTTTTGCTATTTGTGGCTCCCTCTATTGGATTTGGATGGGCTTGGGCGGGCCCATGTTAAACACCACTGTCAAGTCTTACTTTCCTGGGTAGATTTGCAAGCCCAGGACAGGTTCAGTTATCCTCTAGCTTTTTCCTGGTGCTAGTAGTCTCAGTTACTCAGTGCCTTGAAATGTAGCCTTGGTGTTCTGCCTAAGAGGATTTCCAGAGGGTGGGATTAGAGGCTGATTGTTAATGAGCCTCAATTTGCATTTCCTTGCCTCACCTGGGAAAGGCTCAATCTCCAGGGTGGGGGGGTGGGGGCTGCTGCTTTTCCCCACAGCTCTGGGAAGGAACACACTGGCCACCATCCTTTGTAGCCACAACTCAGCAAACACTCTGAGTGCCCTCCAAATCCCAGGTGTCCCCACAGAGTTCCAGCCCAGTCTGCCCTCCCTCTGCGGTAGCCCCCTGGTGAATGGCTGTGGCTATTTTAGCACTCTGTCCTGGCTCTCTGCGCTCTGCAGTGGGCTTGGTTTTTATTCCCTATGGGCGCTGCTCACAGCTAAGACTGCTGCTGTCCATGGGCTCTCAGCCCACCACCCTCTCATGCCTCCGCAGATCCTACCAGCGTCCCTGGTTATGTGGTCCTGTCCTACTGCTTTTCTGAGGATTTGTCTTTATTTTAGTTGTCATTCCCGTTTGGTCCTGGGAGATCATCTGTGTAGCTTCTATTCACTCTGCCTCCATTTTCACCTCCTCTAAGTCTATCATCTTATGTGCACCTGGCTCACACAGGCCTCTCTGGTGACCCCGCACCCTGCAGGTCCTGCAGGTAACTGGATCACACAATCTATTTGGGGACCAGGCTCTATGTGTATGTTATGGGTTTCTGGGTCACCCGGGCCTCTCTGGTGTTCAGCACCCCACAGGTCCAGTGGATAACTGGATCACACAGTCCCTGCTGGGTCACACAGGCCTCTCTGGTGCCTCTGCACACTGCAGGTCCCACAGGCAGGCAGCTGGATCGCACCAGTCTTTCTCAGGCTCCAGCTTCCCACTGCACTTGTGAGCTGCTGGACCACACAGACCCTCGTCCCGCTGCTGGTGGCTGGCAAGTGCTACTGCCCTGTGGGGCTCAACCCCTGCTCAGCTTTTGCTGTAGATTTTGGGGATGGGTCTCATCTGCTGGTCTGGGCTTCTGTTGCCTGGGGATGGATGTCTGCTCCCCAGCCTCTGTTGCTGGGGGTATATCTGGACTCTGATTGGGCTGCTATTATTGGGGATAGTGCTGGGCTCCTCGCTGTCCATGGCTTCCGAGACTGGCACCTTGGGAGCTCCATTACTGTGCACCTGTCTGTGTTGACACAGAGTGTCCACTGGTCCGATGGTGCCAGGTGCATTGGTGGGCTCAGGTTGCTGGGCCCTAACCGCCCCACTGCCTCCTCCCAGGGAAGACCCCGGATCTTCCAAAATGGTGGGACCTCCCCGCGGCGCAGGGAGAAGGGCCTGAAAGGACCGCTCACCACGGTAGCCGGCTGCTCCATCCATAGCACAGGGACCTTCTGCTCCGCGTCTCTGCACTGCTCGGGTTTGGTCGTCCACCTTCACGTCCACTCACACTCTCTCACACACTAGTTCACTCTCCCACACGCTCACCCTTTCTCTGGTCCTTCTTCCCTTCCCCCTGAAGTCTATCACTTCAGACTTGTTTAAAATATTTTCTGCCCACTCCTAGAATCAGCCATTTCTCCAAGAAGCCTTGGTTCTTTCTACTGGAGAGTGATATTTAGAATGAAGATCTGGGTGCTAGGTGTGTTCCAGATGTTTAGTTTTTATTATTTTATTACTTTTTTTTTCTGTATTGATTTTTAGAGAGAGAGAAAGGGATAGAGAGAGAGAGAGATAGAAACATTGATGAGAGAGAACATCAGTTGGCTGCCTCCTGCATGTCCCCCACTGGAGACTGGTCCCACAACCTGGGCATGTGCCATGACTGGGAATCAAACCGGTGACCTCTTGGTGCACGGGGTGACGTTCAACCACCGAGCCACACCAGCTGGGCAATATGTTCAGTTTTTAAAGTTAAATTATTTAAAATTTTTTGTAACTAAAAAAATAGTCAATTACTTTCTAATTTCTTTTTATAAAATTTAAACTTTTTGAGTTTTCACTTCTGTTTTTTTCTTTCTCCATATCAGTAATAATGTGCTTATACTGGTATTGTTTGAGTGATCAATCTGAGACATTGTATCTACTGATGTCCTGCAAGGGTGAATAGGGTTTTGCTTTCTTTCACCTCTGCCCTAGTTTCTCTCTGCCTGTCTTTCCAATGTCATTATATCATGATGTTGTGTTAAACCAGTAGTCAGTAACATTATTATAACCATATAAATATCTTTCATATTGAACAAATGTACTATATTACATATTCTTTCTTATATAACATTTTATCTTTCCTGATGATAATAGTTGCGTCAATTTTTTCCATTTTTTGAATTCCCCAAGTTTATATCAAAATTTATCCTGAATGTTCCAACCTATCTGTCAAAGACCTATGAAACCTATTTTCAAAGTACCTGACTGTGTGACATAATATATTGATCACACTCACCACCACCACCTGAAACCTGTGCCTCTGTCCTTCTGCTCCATCCTGGTTTGGTTGTTATGGCAACTAGTTTCCAAAGCTGCTTCCCCTTCAAAAATTCTTCCCGAGCCTGTTGGAATGCTTGTGCTTGAGAAAGTCGGACACCACGTAAGAATCCAGCTACTCTGAGATGGCCATACTGTAAGGAAGCCCAAGATGCTGTGTGGAAAAGCCATGTAGGGGGAGGAGGGGGAGGGAGGGGGGAGGGGGAGGGAGGGAGGTATGTTTGTCCAGCTCCTAGCTCTTCATCCTGTCAATTTGCTAGATATATAAATGAAAAGTCTTCTTGGATGTTGTCTTTGTATGTGTTTCATGTTCAGGACTTTCCCCAAATGTCTGGGGATGCTTGGTTGTCTATATTTAAAGTGACACACTAAAAACTAGTTAGGAGTCCTGCGTGCATGTCCAAGGATCCTGCACTGGTGACTTTACTGAAGGGGGATTGGGAAGTATTGGCGGGAGACATATAAATGTCAATTCTGTAAGTGTTTTCCTCGGGCCCTTCAGTTATCCAGAGATTAAATCCTCTAGTTTCCTGGGAACAGAATCCTACAGTTCAGTGGGCATTCAGTGGACAGATTTTCTCTGGATCCCTCTGTTATCAATTCTTTCCCATGTTTTCTGGCTTCTCTGAGTTCAGAGCCTCACCCAATATTTGTATTTTCACCATTTTCTTCAGCATGAGCAATGTTGAATATTTGAGACTGGCTGGTTATGATTAAATGATGCTTTTTTTTTTTTTTTTTTTAACATCTAGAACATGTGTGCACCCTTACATTCCCTGTCTGGGCTGGGTTGGAAATGGCCACTGGTATGGTTGGTCTCATGACTGCATTACCTTAAGTGCTACAGGTCAAAGGAGAGTGTATGATGAAGGACATGGGCTTTGAGATCAGGAGTCTCGAGCTTGAGTCTTGTTTCTACAACAGTTTAGCTGTGAATATCATTTATGTAATTCAGTTTCCACATCTGCTAAATGGGAGGAATAACATTATCTATTTCTTAGGGCTGTGAGAATTAAATAACATATCAGTATCATTTAGCGGAGAGGGCCTGGCATATCATTAAGCATTCAATAACTAATGATGGTACAAATTTGTTTAAGAAAACACATCCCTGGCCGGTTTGGCTCAGCGGTTGGAGCGTCGGCCTGCAGTACAGAGAGACCCGGGTTCGGTTCCCGCTAAGGGCATGTACCTTGGTTGCAGTTTGTCCCCGGCCCTGGTTGGTCGTGTGGGTGGCAGCCACTCGATGTGTCCCTTTCACGTCGATGTTTCTCTCTCTCTCTCTTCCTCTCTCTCCCTCCCGCTCTATCTGAACAAAAAATGGAAAAATGTCCTCGGTTGAGGATTGAAAAAAAAAAAAGAAAACACATCTGGTTGGTGAGCATTGATCTGATTCCTCCTCTGAGTGGTTCTGTGTTCCTGGATGTATCATCGACTCTACAGAGTCCAGGAGAGCTGGATGCCATCTCATCCAAGCCCTGGGGTCTGGCTCCTGAGTTACCTCTTGTGCTCTTCTCCACCAAGAGGCTTCACTAACAGGTGGTGGAATGGGGCCCAGTCCCGGGCTTGTTTGTGATGACCAGAGTACGCTTCTCTACTGAGCTTCTTTCTCCCTTGCCCAGTAAAGTAAACTCTAATGGTGCTTTTGGTTTATGTGATGACTGATTACAGCCCTGCTTTTCTTTCTCCATTATCAGAACAAGGGTGGCGGGGTCAGAGGGGCAAGGATTGGGCGAGGGAGAGCCCAGAGCGGGAACAGAGCCAAATTCCAGCTTCCCTTTTCTTTGGCTCTTGTGAGGGGTTCATGTGTAAATAATTACCAGTGGGGAGAGTTAATTGGGTTTTATTACAAGCTGCACAGCTTACACATGAACTTACTCACAAGGACATGCATGGGCACTCATGCACGTGTAGGAAATCCCCCAAATGCGTGGACACAGGAGTACCTGTGTTCCCACGCCACCACACTGCCCCCCATTGACACGCACACCCCAGTGTCCAGGAGGACAGTGCTCAGTGCATTTTTTCATGCATCCCAGATTCAGGGAGGCCATTCAGGATTGGAGGAAAGGGAAGATTTTGAGACAAAAAAGAGAAATGAAAACAAAAGGGTCCCGCCCTGTCAGCATTAACTGGAGTATAAGAAATGAAGTTTGGGCAGACAGACAGACTCCTGGGGCTGGCCAACAGTCAAAATGTCCAAAGGGCCTCTCATTCTCTGGCTGCTGACTGAGCTGTGCAGGCTTTACCTGAGTAAGTGTCTGACCCCTGCCATGCCGGTGTCCCATGGGACCCGGCATCCTGCGATGGGCATCCTGGGCTGATCCAGCTTCAGTAAAGCAGAGCCCCCCTCATTCCAGCAGCCCCCGGGGTCTCTTCTTTGGAGGGTCTCTCTCCTTTCTGTTATACATTTTATCCTGAGACCACTCTGGGGTTTCAGGGTGGGGTTATCTGTGTTCAGATCAGAAATAGACATTTAAGAAGCACAGAAATAAGGGGTGCGATGAAATGGGGAAAAGAATGTCCTGAGCAGAGTTAGGGGAATTTGCTCTGGTAGAAGCTGTTAGCATAATTTTCTGTTTTCTCTTTATTTTCAGTTTTTGTTTGCTTTGGGGTTTATTTTGCTGGGGATGAGGCTTTAAGGGGAGGTTTCTCCCCGCACACCGCGTCCCGGTTCTGGACGATTCGAATGGACACTCTGGGTTTCGACCTGTTCATCCCGAGGGCGTCGGACACAGTGCTGGGTCCTCGCCCGGTCTGCTCACTGAGCGCCGGCGCTGGGCACGTGTCTCAAGTGCTCCGGATAAGACCAGGTTTAACAATCTGTGACTCTAGAACCAGACAATATCTTACGTCCCTTGTGGTTTTAAAAGTTTGGTAGTTATTTGTGCGCGAATCTTTCAAACGTGCTGCATTCCAAGCAAAAGCCAGTTCCCCTTACCTCCAGCCTGACCCTGCCGCCCTCTCGCCTCGCTTCCTCCCCAGCCCCCCGGGGTGCACAGGTCTCCACCTGGTCAGGCTTTCCGCGAGCACCCAGACCCCACGTGGCGTTTCTGCTGCGAGTTCCTGTCCCCGGGAGTGCCCGTATCCGAGAAGTGTCACCCGGAGTGATTGCTCACTGACTGCTTCTCTCCCCAGGACTCTGGAGCAATTACTGGGAGAAAAGCGGCCTCCGTGGGTTTTCTTTACTGGTGTTCGCAGTGGTCTTGTCTTGTTCTGGGAACTCGAGGTGTGGAGGGTTTTGTTATGCTGGAAGTTGCTGGAGTCCAAGTCCACCTTTCCAGCTACTGGCCGGAGGCTGCTTGAGCTGTTGGTTGAGCTAGTGCCGCTGCTGCAACCCTACTTAAAGGAGGCAGCACCTGGGAAACTTCTTGTTTCCCCTTTGGGTCTTTTCTAAAATGACCAGTGTAGAAGAGCGTGGCTGTTCAGAATCACGGAGAGTCGGTCAAAGCTGCACGTGCTCTTGAAAGCTGCCGGATCAGACAGTTCAGTCCGGAGATGGGGAAACTGAGACCCAGACTGGGGTCACCAGCTGGAGAAGAAGCCAAGCTGGCACCAGAACCCAGGCGGCACACACACCGCCCTGGGTAACTCCTGCAAAGGGGGGATTGCTTTGATAGCAACAGCTCCTTTGCTGCAGGATACTTTTGTAACTGGAAGGAACAGGGTTGTGTCCTAATTCTAAATTCGAATGTGCTTGGTTACTTGATTCATTCCATGTGGCACTTGCTACTTCACCTCATGTGAAGCTTAGAAACTCTGAGGGGAGTTGTTCCCTACCCCCATTATGTTGGGGTGATAACGAGGTTGGGGTTATTGTGGCTTTCCTCCAAGGACACAAAAGCGGTAACTGGCCGATGAGGTTCACAAGGTTAACCTAGTGGGTGTCTTCCTGCCACACCAAATTGCCTAATTGCTGGCTTCCTTTTTTTTAACATTAATTTTTTTTAAAATTTTTTATTTATTTTTTTCTTACAGATATTTTACCTTTTTTTTTACCCCATTGGCACCCCCCTCCCCACCCCACCCCCGCCCCTTCCCCGGCTTAGTTTTCCGTGTCCATTGGTCATGCATACATGCATATAAGTTCTGTGGTTGATCTCTTCCCACCCCCCCACCCCCTCTTCTGAGGGATGTCAGTCTGTGCCCTACTTCCATGTTTCTGGGTCTACTGTATTCCTCAGACTGTTACGTTCATTATATTCTGTATATAAGTGAGATCATGTGGTATTTGTCTTTTTCTGCTTGGCTTCTTTCACTTAGGATAATACTTTCCAGGTCCCTCCATGTCGTCTCAAAGGATAAGAGATCTTTCTTTCTTACTGCTGCATAGTACTCCATTGTGTATATGTACCACTGCTTTTTTATCCATTCGTTACTGGTGGACACTTGGGCTGTTTCCAGATCTTAGCTATTGTAAATAGTGCTGCTATGAGCATGGGGGTACATATATTCTTCCTGATTGGTGTTTCAGGCTTCTTAGGGTATATTCCTAGAAGTGGAATCACTGGGTCAAATGGAAGTTCAATTTTTAATTTTTTGAGGTAGCACCATATTGTTTTCCATAGCGGCTGCACCAGTCTGCATTCCCACCAGCAGTGTATTAGAGTCCCCTTTTCTCCACACCCTCGCCAACACCTGTTGTTTGATGATTTGTTGATGGTGGCCATTCTGACAGGTGTGAGGTGATACCTCATTGTTGTTTTAATTTGCATCTCTCTGATGATTAGTGATGTTGAGCATTTCTTCATATGTCTCTTGGCCATTTGTATGTCCTGTTTGGAGAGGTGTCTATTCAGCTCCTCTGCCCATTTTTTAATTGGGTCCTTTGTCTTCCTTTTGTTGAGCTGTATGAGCACTCTATATATATTGGAAATTAACCCCTTATCTGATGTATCATTGGCAATGATGTTCTCCCATACAGTGGGTTGCCTTTCCATTTTGATGTTTGTTTCTTTTGCTGTGCAGAAGCTTTTTAGTTTGATGTAGTCCCATGTGTTCATTTTCTCCTTTGTTTCTGTTGCCTTAGGTGATATATCAGTGAAAATTCTGCTCCGTATGATGTCCACAATTTTGTTGCCTACATTTTCTTCTAGAATTTTTATGGATTCACGGGTCACATTTAAGTCTTTTATCCATTTTGAGTTTATTTTTGTGTATGGTGTAAGTTGATGGTCTAGTTTCATTTTTTTGCATAACATTAATTTTTAACCAGATGAGTAATACGGAAACACCCTTGGTGAAAAAATAAAAATAAAAATGTCAAAAGTCTAAAATCCCTTTGGATGAGCACCCTCAGTCCCCATCCCTTTCCAGTGGTCACGAAGATGAAGGACACAGTGAGTTGGGTGCACTTCCTACTAGACACTTTCCTATGCATTTAGCTTCATACATCTGCACCCCCAGTCCCCACACACATACACAGCACACACTGCTTGCTTTATGTATTTATTTAGCAAATGGTTTTATGTGTTGCGTTAAAATGTGCACTTTTTATGTTTTCATGAGGCTTTTTATATTTTATGTTTCATGAGGGTTTTCATACCCACCGACGTAGGTCTATCCACCCTTAACAATCTTCTGCCCGTGACTCCATGGAACGAACGTGCGATGGTTTTGCCGCTCCTGTACACGCATTGGTTCATTCCGTTCGCATGTACACAAGGGCGGCAGTAAACGTGTGCACTTAGGTTTTCTTGTGCATGTGTGTTTTTCTAGGGTGACATGGCATTGCCAAGGCTTAGGCAGCACACGTGCATGTTGAAAGTGAAGAGAAACTGCCAAATGGCCCGCAGTGCAGCTGTCCGACCCTTAGCCCGTTTCATTGCTGTTGACGCCGGGAGGCTGTCTTTCCCTACGCCCATGTCGGCCAACACTTGGTATTATCGGCGTTCTAAACTTCGGCCAGATAGGTGACATCTACTAGCCACTTATATTGCCTCATCTGTGAACTGCGTGTTATGTCCTTTTTTTTTAGTTTTTCTATTGGGTCTTTTCTTAAGAGGTAGGATGCTTCCCACGATGCTGTAATACTTGGGGAAATAAACCGATGACTCTCCAGTAGAAATAATTCTTACATATGTTTTAAAATCCATTTTCCAAATATTAATAGGAACAAGCTTATGTTTTAGAAGTTATTGGTTTAGGTACAGGTGTTCTATGTCACTAACAAAGCCGAGGGTGATGACGATGAATTTCCTATCTTTTTGTCCTGGTTTTACGGTGGGCAAAATGGACTTCCACAGCACTTATGATCTGTGAAACCTCGGCGCTGCGGCGAAGGGAAGGGACTGGGAGTTCAGGGAAGGCTCTGAGCTGCTCTGAATTTGTAATGACCTTCATCATGAGAGTCAAATGTGGAAAACGGCAGAAGCACATCCTTTTGCTTACTCTCCAGGTGCCTCCTAGGGTCTGTGCCCAGCTTCTCCTAGAGAGGATCATCTCCTGGACATTCCTGCCACCTGGCTCAGGGAGGAGCAGGGCCCGTGGGCCATGTCTCATACAGCTTAGCCAAATGGGTCAGCAAAGTTCGTGAACAGAGAGTCTCATGGGGCAGGGGGTTCCCTGAGGAAAACAATAAGCAGGGACCTAGGTGCCTAGGATGCAGTCTGATGTTCTGGAGCTACTGCCTGCTGGCTCTCACTTCAGTGTATAGATACCAATCACGGATGCTGAAATAAACCAGTGGGCTTGCCATTTGTAGCAGTAAACATGTTTTGCAGATTCTCAGAAATGGATGTCATCTTCAAAGAGCTTGTCTAGTGGTCTTCAAACACTGGGCATGAGGTCAATGACATCAGAATGACCTAAAGAACCTGATTATGTCCATTTCCATGGGCTTTTGGCCTCAGAGATTCTGACTCAGGATTGGTCAATTATATATATATATTTTATCCTCACCCGAGGACATTTTTGCATTTATCCTCAGATAGAGCGGGAGGGAGAGAGGGGGGAAGAGAGAGAAACATCGATGTGAGAGAGACACATCGAGTGGCTGCCACCCACATGGCCCCATCCGGGGCCAGGGACAAACTGTAACTGAGGCATGTTCCCTTAGCAGGAACTGAAACTGGTACTCTCTGATCCACGGGCTGACGCTCTAACCACTGAACCACACTGGCCAGGGCTACAATATGTATTTTTAACAAGCTCCCCAGGTCATGCTGATGAGCAGCCGGAGTTGGGGAACATGGGTACTTTATTTCCGAAACAGGGTGGGGCACCAGCAGGTTTACAATAATTAATACATAATAATAGTACAAGCCCGGCTGGTATGGCTCAGTGGTTAAGCGTCGACCCATGCACCAGGAGGTTGCCGGTTCGATTCCGTGTCAGGGCACATGCCCAGGTTGTGGGCCCGATCCCCAGTGGGGGGCGTGCAGGAGGTGGCCAACTTATGTTCTCCCTCATCAATGTTTCTAGCTCCCTCTCCCTTCTTCTCTAAAATCAATAAAAAAAAAATATTGAAAAAAAAATAGTACAAGAATGAACTCTGTGTGTCACACACTCACACCTGTCAGCCTGCTTGTGCCCCACCTGTAGTGACCTTCCACTGAACCCTCCAGCTGCCGTTCTGTCCAACCCCTGTGGTCCTCTTCAGTTCTAACATCTAAAGAAATCCTGAAACTCCACCTGACTTCATATTGTCTAACAACAAGGAAACGGTCCAGGGCGATTGATTTGTGTTTCCCACACTGAAAGCAGAGGACAACGGGGGTGGTCTGGCAGCCTGTCTGCCCGTCCCGGCGCTCTCTGGTGGGAGGGCGGAGGGAGACCCACGGAGGCATCCGAGCCGGCAGTGCAGAATCACTGCGTATTGGGATACAGTGGGTCGAGGGCTCTTTGGGACCTGTTAATATGAGTTAGTGGAATCGAATGAAAGGGTCAGGATGTTTCACTGGAGGGTTTATTGGTTTATCTGATGGTCCTTAAGGTCAGAGTTTTATAAATCAGCAAAAAGGTCTTGTGGTGGAAATGCGTTTGGCCACTCAGTGGGGTCAGCTGTCTGGACTTGGGGGATGGAAGGCTGTGGCGTCGCGCTCAGCTGCGGCGAAGCGCACGTCAGAATTTAGACTAAAGAAACAAGTACACTACCACCCTCTTCACCTTCCGGGCAGCATCTGTCTGCACCATCACTGTAGAGCATATCTGAGATGCTTTAGCACCGCCCAACCTGGTTTTCCCATCCTTCCTCACAGCTCCAGCTGCAGCAGAGACTATCGTGACAGCATTTTTGGGTCAGCCAGTGACTTTGCCCTGCATGTACCCATCGTGGACTCTCAGCAACAGCATGTGCTGGGGCAAAGGCCCGTGTCCCAACTCCAAATGCAACGAGGAGCTTCTCCACACCGATGGGTCAAGGGTGCTCTCGAGGAAGTCGCCCAAATACCAACTTCAGGGGACTATCTGGAGAGGCGAGGTCTCCTTGACCATCTTCAACACCAACGTAGGTGACAGCACGGTGTACTGCTGTCGCATCGAGGTGCCTGGCTGGTTTAACGATGTCAAGAAGAACATTCGCCTGAAGCTAGAGAAAGGTGAGCACAGGAAGGGGCTTGTGCCTGTGGAAGTGGAGAGCCAGCAGTTAGTGGAAAAGGGATTCAGTGGGAGGGGGTGGGGAGGCTTAGCTCCTTAAGCGATGAGTAGACAGATTAAATGTGAGATGTGTCGCTATGACCAGAGAAGCCACAGAAGAGGCAAATTCCCATGAGGGCCAAGAAGGCCATAGAGGTGAGTGCGTGGAGGGTGGTGGGTGGGGAGGGAAACTGCAGGGTCCATCTGAAGAAGGCTACTGTTTCTTTTTTTTTTTTTTTTTTTTTTATCCTCACCCGAGAATATTTTTCCATTTTTTGTACAGATAGAGTGGGAGGGAGAGAGAGGAAGGGAGAGAGAGAGAAACATCGACGTGAAGGGACACATCGAGCGGCTGCCACCCGCACGACCAACCAGGGCCGGGGACAAACTGCAACCGAGGTACATGCCCTTAGCGGGAACCGAACCCGGGTCTCTACGGACCGCAGGCTGACGCTCTAACCGCTGAGCCAAACTGGCCAGGGCAAGGCTGCTGTTTCTTATCTAGGGGGATTGCTGCCTTGCAGACATTTGGGCTCCGTGCTTCCAGATCACTCAGTTTTTATGTGCGCGATACTGATTTCTGCATGTTGGAAAAGATTTCAAAATTTAGAAAAATGTGTACTGTGCAAACCAAATCAAGTGTGCTCGTGGACCAGCTTCAGCCCGTAGGCCAGTAGTTTGCAACTAGCAAAGAAGAAGGGGCCTGGGGTGGGCGGGGGGACTCTCAGGGCCATTGTCTGGTGTTTTTTCTTCTGTTACCATCCGTTGCTTTGGGTGAAATTTGGAATATACAGCGGAACTCCTAAAGATCTGCGCTGCCTGGAGGGAAGTCTGTGGCTGCGTGTTGCTAACAATAACCACCTTTTTTGTTTGTCTGGAATGAAGCCTTCTAAAGTGGGCCTGGTATTCAACTTTCACCAACGATGGAGGAGTCTTAGGCTCCGTTCCTAACTGGGTGGACATCTTGAAAGGCAGGGTCTGGATATTCATATGTTTAACAAGCTCCTCAGGTGACACTAATGCACATTAATTTATTATCATTTTTATTGCTTTATTTTTTTCTTTATTGAATTTTAGAAAGAGAGGAAGGGAGAGGGAGAGAGAGAGAAACATTGATGAGAGAGAACATCGATTGGCCGCCTCCTGCATGTCCCCGCACTGGGGATTGGGCCCACAACCTGGGCATGTGCCCTGACCAGGAATCAAGCCAGTGAGCCCTTGGAACATGGGTCGATGCTCAACCACTGAGCCATACTGGTCAGGCAATTATCATTATTATTATTTAAATGTTTACTGAATTTATCGAGGTGACACTGGTTAATAGAATTATATAGGTTTCAGGTATACAATTCTACAATACATCTTCCGTATATTGTATTGTGTGTTCACCACTCCATTTATCGCTCCTATACCCTCTTTACCTCCCCACTTTCCCTCTGGAAACCACCGTACTGTTGTCTGTGTCTATCATTTTTTTTGCTTAATACTTTCACCTTTTTACCCAGCCCCTCAACCCCCCAAACCCCCAATCCCCCAACCCACCTCCCCTCTGACAGCTGTTAGTCTGTCCTTTGTACCTATGAGTCTGTTTCTATCTTGTTTGTTAGTTTATTCTAATGCACTTTAAAATTTGAGAACAAATTTGTGGATGCTTCTAATTAGAGAAATTTCATACACATTAGCATATTTTTCCTCTCAAAACAACTTTGTGAGACAGAAGTTACTACAACTCTGATTTATTGAATTAAATAATGCCAATCCAAGTCCACTCTTTTCAAGCTTGGTATAACCAGCTATTATTTTATAAAATACTCGTTGACCATCATACTCTGTGGGGTCATTTCTAGGTTCACTGGAAATGAATGGTATCTTTCTGGTCCATTAGAGTTCATAGAAATGCGGCTTATTTGATGGGTGATATCTGTAGGATAACTGTGGCTAATGAACCACATTCAAATGTTTAGGGGGTAAGTGGTGCTGGCAGGAACCAATCTTTAACATCTGAAAGAGACTACAACCTCACCCTATGTTGCATATTTTGAGCTCAGTTTTTGTAGATTTTAATTTTATTTTATTGTGGGAAGAACACCTAATGTGAGTTGTACCCTCTTAACAGATTTTCAAGTGTACAGCCTATTATTGCTAACTATAGGCACAACCTATAGAGTTTATTCAAGCCTGGTATAACCAGCTATTATTTTATGAAATACTTTTTGACCACCATATTCTGTGGGGTCATTTCTAGGTCCACTTGAAATGAATAGTTTCTTTCTGGTCTATTAGAGTTGTGGAGACCTCCAGAGTTTATTCTTCTTACTTGACTGAAATTTTATATTTGGGCTCACTTTTGATGCAGTCATTCATTTACTCATTGACATTTTTGGAACACCTACTTTGTGCTGGACACCATGGTAGGTATTCAATTTGTATCAGAGAACAACATAAATAGCAGATTTTCCCTCATGGAACTTACTGTCTAGGGGGAAAAGCAGACATTACACAATAATCAAACAAATGTGTAGTTATTAAACACAATACATGCTGTGAAGGTAAAGTCTGAGAGTGCAAAAAAATTATTATTACAGAAAAACTGTTATTACAGATGACCTCCTTGCAGAACTGGCCATTTAGCTGAGACATGGGGGTTAAGAAGTAGTCAGCCTAACGAAGAGACAGACAAGGAAACATCAGGTACAGAGTTCATCCAGCTGGAAGGTCACTAATATATTTAAGAACTGAAGAAAGGCCAGTGGGCTGGGGAAAGATAGAGAGTAAAATAGAGACATGAGATTGGAAAGAAAGACAGGACTAGATCAGGTGGAGCCTTGTGGCCAAGGTTGGAGGCTTGGCATTTTATCTTTATTTAAATTTTTTTTTTCTTTTATTGATTCTAGAGAAACAGGAAGGGAGAGGGAGAGAGAAATAGAAACATCAATGAGAGAGAACATAAGTTGGCCTCCTGCATGCCCCCCACTGAGGATCGGGCCCACAACCTGGGCATGTGCCCTGACCAGGAATCAAAACAATGACCTCTTGGTGCATGGGTTGATGCTCAACCACTGAGCCACACAGGCTGGGCTCGGCATTTTATCTTAAGGACAAGGAGGACCCAATAAAAAATTTTAAGCAGAGTCTGACATAATGAGGTCTGTCATAGAAAAAGATTACTCAAAGCAATGTATCAAGAGCAGATTGAAAAGGCTGAGGGCAGCAGCAAAAACCCCGATTTTCACGGGCATTGCAATGGCCCAGGACAGTGGGCCAGGTGAAGGCAGTAGAACCAGAGAGAAATAGAAGGGTCCCAAATATATTTGTGTTGTTCCCTTTTCCTCCCTCTCTACTTAGTACCCCATATATCTTCTGTTGGTTACAGCCCCAACAACCACCCGTCGTACAACCACCCGCCGCACAACCACCACCACCACTGCTATGACAACCACAGCTGTGCTTCCAACAACAGCCATGACTTCACCTTTGACAACAACCACAGCTGTACTTCCAACAACAGCCATGACCACACCTGATGTCACAACCAGAACACCACCACAGATGAGGACCACCACTGCCCTCACAACGACAGCCACATGTCCTCTGCCAACACCAAGCTTCCTTCCTGAGGCAACCACAATTCTTCCGACCACCGAGCCTTCCATAGAAGGGTCCACCCTCACAGCAGGTATGTGGTACAACTGGCCGTTCTTTTCCTCCTGCTGGTCGGATGTATTGGGGTTCTCCTACTGAATGAGCATCCTAGAGACTTAGTCATGTGTGTGTGTGTGTGTGTGTGTGTGTGTGTGTGTGTAGGCGTTGGGTGGTATGTGTTAATGTGTCAGTTTTCTAGGAATATTTTCTAAGAACCTCTGATTCTTTTTTTTTTTTTTTAATCCTCATCCGAGGACATTTTTCCATTTTTTGTACAGATAGAGTAGGAGGGAGAGAGAGGAAGAGAGAGAGGGAAACATCGATGTGAAAGGGACACATCGAGTGGCTGCCACCCGCACGACCAACCAGGGCCGGGGACAAACTGCAACCGAGGTACGTGCCCTTAGCGGGAACCGAACCCGGGTCTCTCCGGACCGCAGGTGGACGCTCTAACCGCTGAGCCAAACCGGCCAGGGCAGAACCTCTGATTCTTGAAGGCTTTCTGAGGCACTTCAAATACCACAGACTGGGTGGCTTAAATAATAGAAGTTTATTTTTGTTTTTACTATTCTGGAGGCTAGAAGTCTGAGATCAAGGGGTCAGCAGGGTTCATTTCTTCTGAGGCCTTTTTCCTTGGCTTATAGATGGCCATCTTCTCATTGTGTCTCCACGTGGTCTTTTCTCTGTGTGTGCCTGTGTTCTAATCTCTTTTTTCCTTTTTAAGGACACCAGTCATATTGAGTTATGGCCCATCCTAATGACCGCATTTTACCTTAATCACCTCTTTAAAGGCTCTATCTCCATATACATATTCTAAACTAATGGGGGTTAAGGCTTCAACATATAAATTTAGGGGGGGTGGGCCCTGGCTGGTTTTGCTCAGTGGTTAGAGCATTGGCCTGAGGACCAGAGAGTCTTGGGTTCGATTCCAGTCAAGAGCACGTACCTGGTTGGGGTTTGGTCCCTGGTCATGTGGGAGACAACCAATTGATGTTTCTCTCTCACATTGCTGTTTCTCTCTGTCTCTCTCTCTCTCTGTCTGTCTCTCTCTCTCTTTCTCTTCCTCCCACTCTATCTGAAAATAAATGGAAAAAAGTATCCTTGGATGAGGATAAAAAACCACACATTTGGGGGTGGAATACAATTCAGTCCATAAGTGTGTGTGTCTGTTCACTAAACTGTTCTTTTTCTTTGTTTTATGGTTTCTTTTTTGTTTTATTTTCCTGGGTTTTTTTTGTTTTGTTTTGTTTTTGTTTTTGAAAAGTCAGCTGTTTTGGTTCTCTAGTTGACCTCCCAGGAGTCTTGGAGATGTTTACTGAAGAACCAGGAAATGTTACCCAGGTCAGGCTCCATTTCCATCTGCCAGGGTTAGGCCTCTGCGTGGGCATTAGAGATTGGTTGAGGAAAGTCCTCCAGGTGCCTCAGAACACACACACACACACACACACACACACACACACACACACACACACTATGGTAAACTGGTCCTACCCCCTTTCTTTTTACTTGTTTCTTCTGAGTCCTTCTTGATCCTGCATCTTAGACCTCTCACTGAGTTACTACAGAGGTTTATCAAAGTTCCCACTACATTTCAACCTCTGATTCTGAGGATAAGATTATTAGAAAGCAATCATGAGGTAACTTGAAGGCTCTCTGAGGCACTTCAGCTACCTCAGTAAGGCCTGGATCATTTAAGTGGCTTTACAATATTCAATTGGCTAACTTTATTATACTCTGAATAGTCACCTAAAGTCTATGAACCCTAAACCAACCAATTTTTGTATGTATTTTTACTCCATTGGCCTTTAAAATCGTCATCTTAAAATACATTTATAGTTTTTTCTCCTAGATTCTAAAAGTTACTTGCAATCCTTGAAGAAAACCTGAGCTACCTAGAAAAGCACAAAGACAACTATAAAAAAATAGCCCTGAAACTCGCCACTCAGCACAAACACTTATTTTTTAGCTGCCTTTTCTCAAACTTTTTTTCTCTTCCAGAATCAGAAACGTTCCTTCTCTCTGAGGTGACTTCTAGAGACACTGTGTTACTCACATCCAAAGGTATGTGGACACTTGCTTGATTTTTCTTTTCTTACCTCTTAGATTGAGGGGAAGGAAACAGTGGATAGAGTGTCAGATGAGTAGAGATGACTTTTAGACCCTGTGTGCCATGAAGTCCACCTGGAACAAACTGATGTCAAGGCAGTATTTGTAGCTCATTCATTCCTGTGCATAAGGGTAAGAGAGAGAGAGAGGGAGGGAGATGGAGAGAGGAAAAGAGGGGAGGGGAGAGATGGGGGGAATGATTGATTGATTGATTTTGAGTCATTCATGCAGTTGTTCATGACAGCACATCTTTAGAAGCTAGCCTTTCCACGTTAGGTTAGGTGGTGTTTAGCTGTCCCATCTTGAGTCCAAGCACATCAGTCTTCTTTGTTGACACTCCCAAGGAGTGTACTCACTTGATTGGTTGGCTTATAATAGTGGTGGGTGAATCTTTTTATTTATTTATTTTTAACCATTTAAACATTTTTTTCAATTATAGTTGACATACATTGTTATATTAGTTTCAGATGTACACCCCAGTGATTAGACATTACATATCTTACTAAGTGATCATTCCAATAAACCTTGCACTCATCTGACAACATACATTGTTAGAATATTATTGTTTCTATTTCCTATGCTATACTTTACATCCCCATGACTATTCTGTAACAACCAATTTATATTTCTTAAACCCTTTACCTTTTATACCCAGCCCCCAGCCCCCCTCCCATCTGATAACCATTAAAATGTCCTCTGTATCTATGAGTTTGTTTTTGTTCTGCTTGTTCATTTATTTTGTTTTCTTAGATTTCATTGTTGATAAATATGTATTTATTGCCATTTTGTTGTTCATAATTTTGAACTTTCTTGTTGTTGTAGTTGTTGTTGTTTTGTTGTTCTTCTTCTTCTGCTGATGCTGCTTCAAGACCCTTTAACATTTCACATACTGCTGGTTTGGTGGTGATGAACTCCTTTAGCTTTTTCTTGTCTGGGAAGCTCTTTATCTGTCTCTTGATTCTAAATACTAGCATTGTCGGATAGAGCAATCTTGGTTGTAGGACCTTGATTTTTATCACTTTGTGTATTTTTTGCCAGTCCCTTCAGATATGCAAACTTTCTGTTGAGAAATTAGCTAACAGTGTTATGGGGACTCCCTTGTAGGTAAAAAACTGCTTTTTCTCTGTTGCTTTTAATGGTTCTCTCTTTGTCTTTAAGGGTTAACATTTTAATTATGATGTGTCTTTGTGTGGGCCCCTCTGGGTTTATCTTGTTTGGGGCTCTTTGCACTTCCTGGACTTTATGTCTATTGCCTTCACCAAGTTAGGGAAGGTTCCTGTCATTATTTTTTTCAAATAGGTTTTCAAGTTCTTGCTTTTCTCTCCTTCCAGCACCCCTTGATACAAATAAAGGCACACTTGAAGTTGTCTCAGAGGCTCCTTACACTATCTCACTGTTTTGGATTCTTTCTTCTTTTTGCTGTTCTGATTGGGTGGTGTTTTTTGTTTCCTTATCTTCCAAATCTCTGATTTGATCCTCGGCTTCATCTACTCCACTATTGATTCCCTATCATTTCTGACTTTTTAAAAAAATTCTCACCATAGGACATTTTTGCTCTTATCTTCAGATAGAGTGGGAGGGAGAGAGGGAGGAAGAGAGAGAGAGAAACATCAATGTGAGAGAGACATATCAATTTGTTGCCACCTACATGACCTCAACTGGGGTGGGGACAAACTGTAACAGAGGTACGTGCCCTTAGTAGGAACCAAACCTGGAACTCTTGTCCACAAACCAAACTGGCCAGGGCTGACTTGTTCTTTTTTATGTTTTCTATCTCTGTTTTTTGTTTCCTATTTCTTTGTTGAAGTTCTCACTAAGTTCATCTACTCTTCTTCTAATTTCATTGAGCATCCATTTATTTAATTATTTATTTATTTATTTATTTATTTATTTATTTATTTATTTATTTATTTATTTTTGTTAGTCCTTATCTGAGGACATTTTCCCATTGATTTTTTTAGATAGAGTGGAAGGAAGGGAGGGAGGAGGAAGGGAGAGAGAGAGAGAGAGACATTGATTGTTTGCCTCCCACCTTCGGACATTGAACCTGCAACCCAGGTACATGACTTTGACCACGAATCAAAACTGCAATCCTTCAGTCCAGAGGCCGATACTCTAACCACTGAGCAAACTAACTAGGACGGAGCATCCTTATAACCAATGCTTTGAACTCTGCATCTAGAAGATTGCTTGTCTCCATTTTGTTTACTTCTTTTTCTGGAGTTTTGTTCTGTTCTATCATTTGGGACATGTTCTTTGTCTCCTCATTTTGGCAGCCTTTCTGTGTTCATTTCTATGTATTGGGTAGAGCTTCTATGTCTCCCAGGCTTGGTAGATTGGTTTAACGTAGTAGGTGTTCTGTAGGGTCCAGTGGCACAACCTCCTCCATCACCAAAGCTGGATACTTGAGGTGTGCCCCACTGTGTGGAGTGTGTACACTCTCTTCTTGTAGTTGAGCCTTCATTGCTGTTGGCATGTCAATTGGAGGAATTTACCCCCAGGCCAATCAGCTGCAAGGACTGGCTACAACCAGTGACCACTGTGGAGGATCAGTCATGCAGGGGCCCAACCCACAGAGCAGAACTCACATCAGCAGGGCTCTGGTGCCCGCTGACACTACTTCAATGTGTCACTTGTGGAGGTGGTTGGGTGGTGGTGCTTTGTGGTCTGAAGCTGTCTACTGGGTACACTGGCTCTGGAGCCTTCAGTAGGTGCAGACCAAGGACAGCCACTGCCTGTGTCTGCCCAGGGCCACCCAGCATGAGCTACAAAGTGGTCTTCAGATGGCTGCTCCTTGTGCTGGGATTGGAAGTGCCAGGCAAGACCAAGCAGTAACCTAAGGCTGGCTGCTGCTAATGTCAGGTCTGGGGCCACTTAGCAAGAGGTACCAGACTTGCTGAGACCAGATGGTGCTGTCTGAAATATTTTAGGAAAATCTGAAGCATGATCCAAAACAGGCCATTCAAATGAAAAAGCCACTGGAAAGAGCTTGTGTGGACCGACAGTTGGGCAGGTTAGGGTCTCAGGGAACACCAGGGGGGGGCAAACATGCCAGTCATATTGATGGAGTCTCAGATATGGAGCCCACCTGCCAATTCTGTGGGGGGAGGGCTAATCAAAAGAACAATGGCCTCTGACAGCATTTCTGTCTGGGAGAAAGCTGACTCAGCCTTCCCAACCAGCTCTTGCCCTGATGCTGGGAAATTTAGTTCCTCCCTGTGTGTCTCTAGTGCCTTTCAAGCTGCTGGCTCAGTGGGAGCTGAGAGGCAGTGAGTCTGAGTAAGTCCATGTGTGGACCCTTTAAGGGGCACTGCCTGGGATTCCCCCAGCCTCCGATCCTGCAGGTATTTGCAGCCAGGAGTTATGGGGACTTCTCTTCCTGGCACTGGAAACCTGGGCTGGGGGACCTGGAGTGGGGCTGGGACCCCTTGCTCCTAGTGGGGACCTCCACAGCTGAAATATCCCTCCTGATTTTTATCCGCCACACGTGGGTGTGGGACCAGCTCATTCCACATCTCCACCCCTCCTACCACCCTTAATGTGGCTTCTTTTTAATTCTCTAGTTGTAGGACTTCCATTCAGCCAGACTTTAGGCAGTTCCCCGTGATGGTGGTTCTGTAGTTCAGCTGTAATTCTCAAGTGGTTGTGGGAGGAGGCGGTACCGCATTTACCTGCGCTACCGTCTTGACCAGAAGTCAAGAATTCTTTCACTCATTTGTCCTTTCGTCCATCAAGACTTCTTCAGGTATTTGGTAGGACCCAGGGGCAGAGAATACCCTACAAATGAGGCATTATTCGCATCCTTGGGGGGTGCAAGAGAGGACTGCTGGGCTTGGCTCCCAGTTCTACTACTTTCCGCTGGAGGGGAAGTTGTCTCAGTTTATGCCCAGGTTTGCTGTGGAACTTGGAACTTCATGCAGGGAAAGGGCTCAGATAAGTGCTTGGCACATCAGTAAAGACCTCGCGTGGTAACTCGTACCTTCACGGGACTTCTACCTAAGCGGAGGAAAAGAGACGTCATGGGTCAATAAAACAATGCTTGTGACAGGGCAACGTGGGCAGGCAGGATGCAGGGCGGTCCTGTGTGCGCCGCGTCACCTGCCTGGGTCCCAAACCTGCCTCTGACCTGCCGCGTGACTTTGAGAAAATTATTCAGTCTCCCTGGGGCTTGTTATTCTCAGTGGGAAAATGGGAATAGTAATAATATCTTTCCTATATATATGTGTCTTTTTCTGAGGATTAAAGGGAAAACGCATGTAGAGAGGAGAGAGAGAAACATCGATCAGTTACCTCCCACATGTGCCCGGACGGGGGACTGAACCTGCCACCTTTTGCTATACAGGTTGACACTACGACCAACTGAGCCACACCAGCCAGGGCAGCTCTTCTTCTTTTTAATGAGAGAAGTCAGTTTAGGGGACAGAGGGACACCCAGAATAGGAAGACAAGCATTCATCTAAATTTGTTCTCTCTCTTTTTTTATTGTTGGAAGTGTTACAGCTGTCCCCCTTTGTTCCCCATTGACCTTCCCCAGCCTGATGTCCCTGTCGCATGGCTGTGCACACATGCATGTAAGTTCTCTGGCTTATCTCTTCCCACCCCTCCCACCCCGCCCCTCTGAGGTTTGTCAGTCTGTTCCCTACTTCCATGACTCTGGATCTCTTCTGGTCGACGGCTTATTTTGTTCATGATGTTCCAGTCGTGGGTTCTCTAGTCAATATCCCAGAATATGGGAAACGAGCGACTCAGTGATTTTTTTTTTCTCAGCCAAGGGGTAAGGGGCTGTGTTCCTGTGAGTGGTTTTGTCTGTGGCCGTGGGAACACTCTGCTGTCTGCCTGCTTGTCTTGGGATTGAGCTATTTTGGTTCCACTGCGGTCACCCCCCACACCCCCCTGCAAGCTGGGACGAAAGTGAAACCTGCTGGGAACACCAGTGCTGGCTTCTTCCCTCTTCT